ATTTTCTGTTGTATTGTCCGGGAGCAATATCAGACTAATCCTTAAGATGATGTGGTTCATGCAGTTCAGCGAGCTCTTCTGTACCCTGGCAGCAAAGCCACACAACTCAAAGCTGAGATATCCCATATCACGTATCCAACCAAACCAATTTCCCTAGGATGCAGACACTTCTCCCAATACAAACCCTAAAGAAGCTTTCCACTGACATCTGCAAGAAATCATTGAGATTTTTTTGAGCCTGAGAATCCTTTTGAATTAAGTTACATCAGAATATACTCTTCAGGAGCATGCTTAATGCAGTCCAGCTGTGAAAAGCACTCAGTCCAGAGAGAGCCCAAAGTAAGCCCTCCTGAAGTGCTTGTAGCATGGACATTCAGCCTAATGAGAACATAACCAGTGAACAAGATAGTAAAGGTTTGCTGTCTCCTTTTGTCCTATAGGTTATATAATTGGTTTTGGGGTTTTCTGGGTTTTTTTGGGGGGGGATGGTTTCTTTGTTGTTTTTTTTTTTTTTTTTTTTTTTTTTTTTTGGGGGGGGATGGTTTCTTTGTGTTTTTTTTTTTTTTTCTTTTTATTGGTTCTTCAATGTTTAGCTGTTTTAAAAATAAGAATAGAAAAAGTGTCAGTAGTAGTGGTCTCGCTTTCAGGTACTCTGTTCAGTATCTGATTATCAAAACCAATTTGCTGCAAAAGAATACATAGGATTTTGCCAAACGAAAGTAAGAGCTTTTTATACCTATAGCATATAAATTTTAAATACTTGCAAATAAGAAACGAGTTCATTTAGTAGCTTTGTTTTGTAGATTTTTAGAAAAAAAGCAATATTCTTTGTTTAAACTGACAATCATCATTTTAAATTCATTCGTCTAGTTTTACTGAAAATGTGATTGAATTTCTGTGAAAAAAATACCAATAACAGCATTTTGTACTCCATTTTTCAGTCACTTTTATTCTCTTAATTTTGATTTGATGGGCTAAGAAGCTAAGTAATTCTAACAGTCACCAGAAATGCATTTTAGAGCAGTTCATTGTTCTATCAGCAAATTTTCTTATCTTTTAAAAATTTTCATTTACTGTGTAATTAATCTGTCCTCCACTAAAACAAAGAAATAAAGTTTAAGAAAATTCTCTCTTTAGATATATGCACCACATTGTAGGTGCTGTGTGTGCTGTGTTCTGTAGGCACTAGAAGAGACATGATTACCTGTGGTCCAGGCAGAAGTTTCTGGAATTTATGGAAAATTTTATTTTAATTAACAACTGCAGGATTGGCTGGCCCATAGTGATAAATTGGCTTCTTGCTGTATAAGAGTGACATGTTTTAATACAGCTGTATAAAAAAGTATGGATCATACTGAGAAGGTAAAGCAGTGTATTTCGTAAATCACAAGTTCACAGTGGATAATAAACCAAACATTATCTCCTAGTTAAATGCTAACAAAGTCATTAAAGTTATTTGAAATATAAAGAAGAAAGTGAAAAAAAATTGTTAGTGCCATTGTACACCTGATATATTTTACAGTCTCTTCCAAAGAGTAGAAAAATCACCCTGAAAAACTGAAAAAAAGTAGTCAGGAAACTGTGATTTGTGGAAGATGAACACGTAAGGACGGGCTGCTCACCATTTCTGCAAGGAGAAGTACAAAGGGGTCTCAAAAGAATCCAGTGGGAGCCAAATTCGGATAAAGGCAGTTGGTTCTTCACATACGGTGTAGTAGATGTATCACATATGTTTTTTCAACCCTTCCCTGGGTATCTGCTTACGGCCATGGCCAAAGAGAGGCTGGTGGTCTGAACCAGTACAATGTTATGTTCTCAAAAATTTAAAACAAGAGTATCCAACAGGTTAATTGGAATGAATAATGATTCTATGATTCAGAAAAAAAAGGTAAGGAATGACTTCCTAGTAGTCTTTGGCTGCATAGAAAGATATTTAAATAAATAAACTCAGGTAAAAAATGAAATTAATAAAAATGGTTTTCTTCTTTGCTTGTTTTAAAAGAGGAGGTCTTAACCACTCAATGAAGTTACCTTGACTTCCACTGGATCTTCTGTCCGTTGAGTTCTTTGAGTCAAGAGCTGTTACATTTCTGCGTATGGGCCTACTCCAGTGAAAATCTCTCATCTGTATTAGGCGGAAAGTCAAATAAAATTATCATAACAGACTCTTCTTAAAGATCTATCAATCCATGCTTATTTCATCACTTTGAAGGTGAAAAGTTAAAAATTAAGTAGATCCCCGAAGTGTGAGTTCTCAGTGTGTTAGTGTCAAACCAGTATTTAACACATTGCTATTTTAGGAAGAAACTAGAAATTTTGGTAGCGGTAACTACAACATAATAAAAATTCCCAGGCTAGTTTGGAGAAATAGATGCTCAAAAGACCTACTACTTTTTCATGTAATACTTTGCATATTCACTAGGGCATAGGCTTTAGCGAGCACAAATTGGTTTAGCTCCAAAATCAATAAGCTCTGAAAAGCGCATCGGCTGAAGATCTCCCACCTCTTTCTTCAAGTTATATTTAGACATTTACTGGATTTAGGACCTTTATTTTGGTGGGTATAAAGAAGCAAGTCCCTTTTTATTGAAGAAGTGGGGCAGGAGGGAATAGTTGTGGCATTGCTTGAATGTTATACTTTATTTCAGCCAGGGCTGGACTAGCTAGAGATGAAGCCCACGTGTCACGTAGCTTCTGGGTATTCACAGGTGAGGTGCTCTCAAACCAGCCCTTTGAAGTTGTTCCACTTTGACGGAAATAATTAAACGCTAACTGGCTACAGCAAGTTAAAAAGAATGAGTTCGCTTCTCTAATCCGTCGGCTTGGGCACTCACCTGGGAGATGATTAAGGAGGTGAAAATCTAAACACTATTAGGAAGAAAAAAATTGAAAAGGAGCACTGAGGTGTCACTCAGATGTCTTTTTCTACTGCTCTTTACAGGAACATTTTTGCCAGAGTTTGAATCCCCACTGAAAGAGCTCACTGTAGCTAATCCTCTGAGAGTGGCTCTGTTTTCTAAGTGGGAAATGGATATAGGATAAACAGAAAATCTGCTGTTGGCACACAGCCCTCTCTGCCACGGTGTAATAAAGTCTTATCATCTGCTGCGAGGTTCTTCAATGGCTAAGCTCCTTCTAAAGCTGAAGGAGAACTGAGCACCATAACTGGAAATCCGATAATGGCACCTATAAATAAAGGATTTCTATTTTCACAGTTAACAGCAAATGAAATTATATTTAGTGATTTAATACATTATTCAAAAAACATGGTTCAAACTTTGAGGTTTTTTGGGGAGAAGGCTTCTAGAAATGTTCGTACTTGTTAAAACTTTTGGAACTTAAATTGAAGCATGCTTTTGCTGTGGAATACTAAAAAGCAGCTAATTAAAAGCAATGGGTGAACTGAGGACACCATGACTGTCTGACTTGGTGTAAATGGACCTTTCATGAGAAATTCTGAAAGAGGCACGGAGGTGAAGAGCTGAATATCACCGAAAGAATAGCATCTATCACTCATCATTTTAAATCGTTTCAGCTGTTCAGTGTTAGCCTGTTAAATTTCTCATTAAAAGACATGCTGCTTTTTCGAGAACAAGTGGGTTTATTGTTTCTCTTTGATTACTGCCACTCCATTTTAAAAAATCTTACAAAAAAGATTTGATTAGAAATATTTCAATTATTTTTTTTTTTCAATACAGAGGAATGGTGAACTAATTTGATGCCTGCTCTGTTCTTTTGGCTCTGTACTGTACCAAATGTACAAAATCCAAACCATAATGTGATTATTCTGTTTTCATAGTCGAACTTAAGCCTAATGCAAAAAGCGAAATAAGAAGATCAATAGAGAGAACCCAGTATAAGTTCCCTTTTGCCACTTTGGCTGCAGCTGAGTCATATTCAGCACTGATGAGCTGGTAGTTTCCACGTGCTACTTAGAGTAAACTCATAGTATCTTTTGATTCCTTCTTGTGGGGCACGTTGCACCTGTGGAGAGATTGCTCTTGTTCTTTTCCTGTCCTCGATAACATTTTCTCTCTGTGCTTCTTCTATGAAATCTTGTGTTTAATCTATCTCACAAGGAGCCTTTTACCAGTGTATTTGCTCATGTGTACTCAGTTGATTGGTATAGTTTCCACTAAAATTGTTGGGAAGTAGGAGTGCTCACCACAAATGACTAAGATTGCTCTTAGTAGAAATAGCCATGCTGTATTCTGAAAGAAACTCTGCTAGATTGTGGAAAGGCTTTGACGAAAATTAGAGGTGAATCTGATAGGACCAGCAGCATTACCTCCTTGCTTTTCCTCTGAGGATGAATATTGATTTTAAATATGCTCTAGGTTCTAACAGTCTGTTAGCCACACATCTGAGGATTTTTTTGCTTGAGGTCAGGCTATAGTTCTCAGAGTAGCACCATTATTTTCTTATTCAGAGGGAAAGGAGAAAGCCGATTCTTTGAACTTCTGGATTAGTCAGAGCAGACAGTGTTGACAAGATGTAATTGCTGCTTCAATTGAGAGGAAAGGTAATGCCTCTGTTGTTTTGAAGTTTTTTAAGAAACTCTCTTCTGATCTGAAGCTAGTCATCTTAGACAAGCAATTTGCTCCTGAGTGATAAGAACCTTTCATAAGGTTCACACTGGCTTAAAAAAAAAAAAAAGAAAAAAAAAATTAAAGTTCGACACCACTCCTTAATCTCTTTTTAGTTATATGATGTAGGCTTGCGAGAGCTGGACAAATCGCTGTGCATTTGCTCTCCTTCTGTATCTCAAGCAACAACAAAAGTCCTGACCTGTGCTTGAGCTAAGGCAAAACCCATTATTTTCACTGATAGTCCATATTAAACCATGAAATCTGAAATAAATTCTGTCTCTGACCTGAGCTGGCCATCAGTTCATGCCGTAATATAGAAAGACCATTTCACTTTATTATTAAGCCAATTATCTGTGACTTGTATTTTTATTTTACTAAATGTATGATTGCTTTCTGTTAACTTATCATCAGAATTTGCTCTCAGATAATGAGTTACCTCCATGGACTTCAATAGACATAGTGCATGTGAAAGAGGAATTAGGCCATCGTCTTCCCGGACAGTGTCCTGGTGGACAGGATGGCATGTCTTTAGCTACAGGTTACATGAAACTTGTACCATTTTTGTCTTTTAATCTCAGTGAGCATATCTTTGTTGTATTGTGAAGCACACTAGATAGGAACCAATTTGATTTTATCAAAATTTTTATTACAGATACCCCACGTGTCCCCTTTTACTCCTCTGCATTCTAGACTAAATTTAATCCCAGTCTTTTAAATCCTTTTTAATAGCTAGGCCACCCCTCTGTGCCTCATTTAGGTTTTCTTCATTTCAGGTGCCCCATTAACTGATATAATGCTGTCATACTTTTCCCTGTTATGTCTCTTTAGTATACCCTAGTATCCTTTTTATTTCTTCCTACTTTTTTTTTTTAATTAAAATTTCTCTTGATACTGAATTGATGTTTCTACTGAACAGTTACTCATTGACTCTGATTTTTCTTGTTTGGTGACAGCTAATTCAGAACCCATCACTGGGCCAAATTCAGCTGGTTGTTGCACTCATGAAATTCAACAATTCTGTTGAAGTCAGTTGAGTAAATCTGAAGTATATGCTGGTATAAATTAAATAAAAGCCTGGCCTACTGTGATCAAGGAGCTTATTATGTCCCCACCAAAAGGCAGATCTGGCTGTCCAGTTCACTTTTTTTAGTATTCGCTTATGATGATTTAACTGAAGAATAGGATAATTTTTTTCCTCGTTTGTGCATATATTATGTCAACAGAAGTGCCTACATTTATAAATTGTAAAATATATTTATAAAATATAAAACGCTTGTGAGGCACTCAATGCAATGGGCTTTCATCCTGAGATATGTGAGCAATCACCAATCTACCTGTTACTTACAATTGAACCTGCAGTACTGTGTTCAGCTCTGAGGCTCCCAATATAAGAAGGACATGGAGCTGTTGGAGCAGGTCCAGAGGAGGCAACAAAGATAATCCAAGGGCTGGAGCACCTCTGCTATGGAGACAGGCTGAGAGAGTTGGGGCTGTTCAGCTGGGAGAAGAGAAGGCTCCGGGGAGACCTTTCAGCAGCCTTCCAGAACCTAAAAGGGCTACAAGAAAGCTGGAGAGGGGCTTTGGACAAGGGCGTGTAGTGACAGGACAAGGGGCGATGGCTTTAAACTGAAAGAGGGGAGATTCAGCCTAGATCTAAGGAAGAAGTTTTTTACATTGAGGGTGGTGAGGCACTGGACCAGGTTGCCCAGAGAAGTTGTGGCTGCCCCATCCCTGGAGATGTTCAAGGCCAGGTTGGATGAGGCTTTGAGCAACCTGGTGTAGTGGAAGGTGTCCCTGCCCATGGCAGGGGGATTGGAACTAGATGATCTTTGAGGTCCCTTCCAACCCAAACCATTCTATGATTCTATGAGGCCAGATCCCTCACATTTTGTGAAGCTGGGTCTTTTAATAATATTGTGAGTGATTAGACACATGAGGAATGAAAAAATCATGCACATAATGTAACTGAAAAATAGGAATGATATGTTATAATGTGCTGTAACACCTGCTCATCTTCCTTGAACTTCATCTGCTGTCATAAAGTTCACTCAGACTCTCACTTTTTATGAAGCCTGTTGGCATCAGTAGTTTGGATGATGTGAAATAGTTTGAAATCATTTGTGTGATCGTGTGTAAACACACCCTTGAAATTTGTTTTATAATCAATTATTTTATCCATATCTTATCACATAGAAATGAAACCCAGTTTGTACTATCAAGACAACTTAGACATGCAAGTTTTCATGTTTTAATGTTGTATTTAGACTATTTTAAAATATTTTACTACTTGTCAGTTGCAAATATTGAAGAACTATTCATTTTTTTTTCCTATAAGCTGACAAGCTACTGGAGTAACATCACTGTCTTACCTTATTGCCTCTCTGGATAGTTTATTTCATGACGACGTTGTCCAAACTAGCAGACATCTTAGAGCTGGCATGTATATAAAATATTGTTTAAAAAGGCTTAGATATAAGTGATAGTAAATCAAAACACCTTTAGGAAAAAGAAGGGAGAACAAAGGATTGTGCTTTGAATCTCAGATATAAAAAACTAGAGAACCACCAGCTAATTCTCACTAATAAAATCTAATTTTATTTTGTCTTCTAAGGTAAAACTGGCCACACAGAGACTGTACGAGTAGTATATGAGCCAGAAAACATCAGCTTTGAGAAACTGCTCAAGGTCTTCTGGGAGAATCATGACCCGACACAAGGTAGAGTGATGAGTGAGCCAGTATTTAATTATCTTACTAATTACAGCTGGGATAATTAGTGTTTGAGCTGCATGGAAGAGATGAACCTTGAAATCACACTGGAGCTCAAGAATATGATTGCAGACATTTATTGACAGAGAAAGAGAGGGAGAGAGAGAATGAGAGTACGGAAACTCACAATGCCCCTCCTCCTTTACAGCTGTCTGTGCTGGGAAAATTCCCACAGAGGCACGGTAGACAATAGAAATATTTTTTTTTCAGCTTTGATTATGACAATTTCTTCTGTAATGCTATCTTTTGTCTCTTAAATTAAAACATATTTCTTTGCAGCTTCAGAGCTGGTCATTTTATTTGTGCCAAAGACCTTTATCCTTCATAAAAATTTTTGTTTGTTTGTTATATTTTTTCAATGGCAGTGAATATCTTTTATGATTAGAAAAATGGAACAAAAAGAGGTAAGAGGTGGTGTGTAGAGGCACCAGCAGAGCATTGTAGCTATTTGCCTTACTCGAACCTTTTGATTTAATTTATCTTTCTTGGAAGAGGCTTTGTGATGACATTACACACATCTGTGCAAACATAAATGGGAAACTATGTTGAGAAAACATTTTACATGTTTATGTAGTTTCAATAAACATCATCCTTCCTACCATTTCCCAGAAATATTACACACAGTAACTCATTTCAATATTTTAACAGCTATCATAATTATGCCACTTGTTACTACATCTGCGAACAAAAAATGCAGATGATACCTTCAAAATGTGATACTATTCTGAGAACCAGTAACTCTGAGAAGTATGCAGGAGTTATTATGGATTAGTGTGTTCCAGTGAGCCCAGAGCACAATGCAAAGACAAAAATGACTATTGCAACTCTTGCTTATATAAGACTTTATCAGGAGCAGGAAAGCCATTTTCTATATGCAGAATCAGTAAAATCTCAGAACATTTAGTGCAGTTTCTGTGTTGACGTACCAGGAATTATATGGAGGTATTGCTGAGGATTTGAAGGAGGGACAGAAAAGGATACAGAGCCTGGAAAACTGGCCTGGTGCTGTGAATAAGCGCATTCAACTCATTAGAGACATAACACTATGATCAAGTAATCTTTACAGGTACTTATGTGAGGAGCAGATACCTCACAGTGAGGTTGACAACCCAACCACTGGTAAGCCATAGCAAATTCCAGTATTTGGAAGCTGAAGATTGAAAAGTTCCACCTTGGAATAAAATCGTTTCTTAGCTCTCAGTGTAATTAAATGTTGGAATATTTTTTCCATTACCATCTTTTTGAGTCTTTCAGATGAGATCATTTATCTTTTTAAAAGAGGTGCTTGATTTAAGTCATGAGAAGAAATTCTATGTCTGTGTGTCAAGTGGCCTATACTTGGATCTGTTGATTTTCAGCGTCTCTTCTCAACTCCTTCCTTTATAGTTGTGTTCAGAGCAATTTGTCTGCACCATGACTGGAATACTTGCAGCTCTGCATTAAGACAATGACCATCTTCAAATCACACTTCAGGGCCTCAGTGATTTGCTCGCAGGGGTCAGGAAGGAGGTTTTCTCCCTATTCTAGCAGTGGTTGGGTTTAGGTCTTTTTCTGTTCTTTTTTCATTGGACTGTCAGAGATTGGCCATCACCAGAGGCTGGCTCCTTTGTAATGGATGGTTATTTTGATGTGGCAGAGAATCCTCTTTCTAGATAACTGGTTCATGTGTCTTGCTCACGTGTTAGGATTCATCTCGATTGCCAGAGCTGAGAACTAATGGCCAGGACTATAGGATTCTTCAACTTCCAGAGCAGTATGAGGAATGAATTTCTACTGAAATAATCTGGGCAACTACCACCTCATCAGTTGTCTGCCGTGTCTCTAGTCTTGGCTTTGATAGTGTGTGGTCGGACTCTGCCTATGGCACACATACCTTAGGTCAGTCTCTACAGGACTTCAGTGCTTTAGGCTGACTGAAGTTCATGGGCTGGACACGGTGGTGTGTGGATGGAGTGTAGTAGTTGTGGTAACAGGTCAGATCAGATGAATTTATGATTCCTTCTGGCTTTAAAACAAAGGAAAACGATGACAGTATGTCTTTATATTCACCTTGCATTCTCCCATAACTGAGGTTCAAAATAGTTCCAGTTTGTGGTTTCAGAAGAAGGTTGAATGCTGGCAGGTGTGTGATTCACTCTTTGATTTCTGGCAACTGAGGAAACATCACCTAATTAGCCCGGGCACAGAGCCATACTAATGTGCCTGTATTCCTTCTGAGATGTGTTAATATCTCCGCATGACACAGTGCTGTGTAGATACCCAAGTCATTCACAACTGTCTCAGGCATCTATGCGGCACTGCAGTGCTTGATGTAAACATACCTAAGCCTTTATTAAGCTTGGCTCAGTAGAATTTCCAAATGATACTTCTGTAACAATTTGCCAAAAGTGAAAGCATCACTTTATCCACAAGAGGAGATGGCAGTCTTCTCTGAGGACTTTGCATACCCCATACTTGGGCAGGTTGCTTTACAGAGATATTTTTATGGATGCTTAATGCTGATGTCTGTTCCAGAACTTTGCAAAGCTTATCACATCTCGGTCACCTTTCTTGATTTGAGGACAACATGAACCGTAGTGTCCCAGCTTCAAGTTTCTTTGTTTTGTGAGATAGGGATGATATGCTTACGTACCCTTTCAGTAGGTACCTTACGTACCCTTAGCCGTACAGCAGTTAGCAGTAGAAGATCTTTAAAGTAGAATTGTTTCTTTGTCTCAATTTGAATCTACTCCTTGCTTTTAGCTTGCTATGGGAAATGTGGTTTTATGTAAAGATACTGAAAATGAGACTTATCTCTCTGACCTATGGTATTTTTCTCCTTTCTTGATGTTCAGCTGTGTGCATGATGTAAGTCTTATTTAGCCAGCCTTATGGGAATGCAGGACTCAGTCTGTCACACAGAAGTTTTTCACTAAGCATATAAATTACGAAGGTTTCTTGTTCATGAAATTCAGTACCCTCCAGTGTCTCATATAACCAGCAAATGCTGGACTTCCTAAGTATAGCTCTCACTCAAAAGTATAAAAGCTTTGTCTGTGGCACTGTCTCTTTTGCTCCAAAGTTGGGTTAACACCATTTAAACTCTTCTACTCCCAGCAGAGATAATGGACTTGTCTAATTGTTCTAATGTCATTAAACATCAAATATGTACATTCTGTTGCAGTTAAAGACCTTTCAAATATCACACTGGATGGTACCAAGTTGCTAAAGAGTACAGACTGGCAGTCCTATCATTCATTCCTCTATGAGGATATTAATATTCAGAAGTTCCTGCTTTCCAAACAGTTGGACCTCCTGCCTTCAAGATGAGACTGACATCTCACTGGGATTCAGATTTTCTCTGGGACGTGCCTGGCTCTTGTTTCGTGAAGCTCTTGAGTCTGAGTATTATACAGAAGTCTATTGAAAAGCAAGAACCTTTGATCAAGTCAAACACTCTATGAGTTGAAAGAGATTCTCCTAGATGAGCAGCTCCTAAGTGTGGAGCCCTGATAAAGTCCTCCTTGACTATTAATTTAGGCTCTATTTTATAATTCATTACATTTGGGATACCAAAAAAGCAACAAACCAACCCCTGACTTCTGCCAAGTGACATATGGTTTTCATCTCTGTTCAGCCTCTAATGCACAGATCATCATTCCTTCTCTCCTAGGAATGATCTTATCTATAAGAGGATTGCTCTGTATAGCTCTATAAGTGGTTGAGGTGGTTGCTTCTTTGTCATTGACACAGGAAGAGAATGAATGTGATATGCTGAAAATACTGCAAAAGAATCTTATGGCTATTCACTTTGTACAACATTTTATCTTTCTAAAGTTTATAGAGGCGTAGGGCAGATTCTGTATTGCCTTCATTTTGTGATAAAGGGGCCATCCTCAGAGCCTTCCAGATTTTTAAGATATAAGCCTGACCGTCTCCTTCAAATTACATCCTGACAGTGGTTCTGCTGGCATCTCCATGCTGTGTGTCTAGAGGGATGTGGACTTTCAGACCATCAGTTTGTCTGACTTGTGCCTCAGCCTGTAGTTTCATGATTGCTGTAAGCTAATCTTTCACTTACCTGTTAGGGAAAAGGGTGATCTTCTCTCTTTCTGACCTGTCTGTAGGATACACCCTTTTTCCTTGTGTTGACGCTGGCAATCAAAAAGTTCTCTGATCAAGCTGAAAATTAGCCCTGCATGAATTGAAGTGAAATGTAATTTTCAGTCAGGGCTTAAACTGCCAGGAGCATGACTGCTGGTGGGACCACCCTTCTGGCATTAGCACTGTCCTGTGGTGTGTTAGCCAACAGCAAAACCCGACTGTGCTTATGTCCAGAGAAGAAGATCTCGTATTTTATCTGATCAGAAAGTTTAGCCACTCTTTGTGGAGTGTCAGAAATTATTTCTCCAAACCGTCGCAAAAATCTGATACCAGAGGACTCCGTTTGTCGTGTTGCAAATGTGATTCCTGAGAAGCATGTTACTGGTAATAATTATAGTGACCCTCTGTGTGGTTGAAGTTCAACATGTGTCAGAGATTTCAGTCCAGTCCAACGCAACTTTAAAAAAAGGCTCCTTGTTGCTTTCAATGGCTATAGAGAAGATAAGCAGAAGACAAACCAAATATTATTTATTTCTCTTTAAAACGTGTGTGGGGCAAATGAAAGATCCAGTTGCCCCCTTTCACTCTTTTCTGTCTTGAATACGATCCAAACCAAATTCTTGTTTTGGTAGTTCTGCTCCCCATGTTTGTCAAAAGTACCTAATCCTTCCGAGCCCACGGGAAATAACTTAGGTACAACTGGAGTTTTCTGGAGTGAGCCCCTGTTGTACACAAATCTCATCCTTTTTCATTGCTTCTTCTGGCTTTCTATTTGGATTAGTGGAAGGAGCTGAGAGGAAGCCAGGACTCTGTAGTTTTGGCCACCTTCTGACGATGGGTTGAAAGGCAAAGGCACCCATGGCCAC